ACAGAAAGAGAGACAGACAGAGAGACAGGGAGAGACAGACAGAGAGAGACAGACAGAGAACGATACAGAGAGACAGGGAGAGAGAGACAGAGACAGGTAGAGACAGAGAGACATACAGAGAGAGAGAGAGACAGAGAGACAGAGACAGAGAGAGACACACAGAGAGACAGAGAGACACATGATGAGACACAGAGACACACAGAGACCCACAAAGACCCACAGAGACCCACAGAAACTCAGACACACACAGATTAATAGAGACACACAGAGAACCATAGAGACCCACAGAGACTCATGATGAGACACAGAGACCCATAGAGACACATAGACTAACACATTCTCCTGCGGAAGGAGCTGGTAGGAACGTCGAGTTGCTCGGTCAATGGCCAGGGTCAAGGGCGGGACCACGTGGTGGTGGTGTGTTCAGCACAATGTGCCCGACTGTGAGGGCGGGCACAAGCTGGCGTGAGTAGGTTACACGTTGAGTTTTATAAGGGCACCACGGGGTGACCAGTCCCTCCCCACCCTCCCCACCCAGCCCCTCCCCACCCAGCCCCTCCAGCCAGTCCAGTCCAGCCAGTCCAGTCTAGCCAGTCTAGCCAGTCCAGTCCAGTCCAGTCTAGCCAGTCCAGTCTAGCCAGTCCAGCCAGTCCAGTCTAGCCAGTCCAGTCTAGCCAGTCCAGTCTAGCCAGTCTAGCCAGTCCAGTCCAGCCAGTCCAGTCCAGTCCAGTCTAGCCAGTCTAGCCAGTCCAGTCTACCCAGTCCAGTCCAGTCTAGCCAGTCCAGTCTAGTCTAGCCAGTCCAGCCAGTCCAGCCCAGCCAGTCCAGTCTAGCCAGTCTAGACTAGCCTAGCCAGTTTAGTCCAGCCAGTCCACTCTAGCCAGTCCAGTCCAGCCAGTCCAGTCTAGCCAGTCCAGTCCAGTCCAGCCAGTCCAGTCTAGCCAGTCCAGTCTAGCCAGTCCAGTTTAGTCAATCTAGCCAGTCCAGTCTAGCCAGTCCAGCCAGTCCAGCCCAGCCAGTCCAGTCTAGCCAGTCTAGACTAGCCTAGCCAGTCCAGTCCAGCCAGTCCACTCTAGCCAGTCCAGTCCAGCCAGTCCAGTCTAGCCAGTCCAGTCCAGCCAGTCCAGTCCAGTCCAGTCTAGCCAGTCCAGTCCAGTCCAGTCTAGCTAGTCCAGTCTAGCCAGTCCAGTCCAGCCAGTCCAGCCCAGCCAGTCCAGTCTAGCCAGTCTAGACTAGCCTAGCCAGTCCAGTCCAGCCAGTCCACTCTAGCCAGTCCAGTCCAGCCAGTCCAGTCTAGCCAGTCCAGTCCAGCCAGTCCAGTCCAGTCCAGTCTAGCCAGTCCAGTCCAGTCCAGTCTAGCTAGTCCAGTCTAGCCAGTCCAGTCCAGTCTTGCCAGTCCAGTCCAGTCCAGTCTAGCCAGTCCAGTCCAGTCTTGCCAGTCTAGTCCAGTCCAGTCTTGCCAGTCCAGTCCAGTCCAGTCTTGCCAGTCCAGTCCAGCAGTCCAGTCCAGTCCAGTCTAGCCAGTTCAGTCCAGTCTAGCCAGTCCAGTCCAGTCTAGTCAATCTAGCCAGTCCAGCCCTGCCAGTCCAGCCAAGTGGTCACGTGTGACCTGTGCTGTAGCAGAGGGCAGCTGAGTGGTCACGTGTGCCCTGTGCTGTAGGAGAGGGCAGCTGAGTGGTCACGTGTGCCCTGTGCTGTAGGAGCGGGCAGCTGAGTGGTCACGTGTGCCCTGTGCTGTAGGAGAGGGCAGCTGAGTTGTCACGTGTGCCCTGTGCTGTAGCAGAGGGCAGCCGAGTGGTCACGTGTGCCCTGTGCTGTAGGAGAGGGCAGCTGAGTGGTCACGTGTGCCCTGTGCTGTAGGAGAGGGCAGCTGAGTGGTCACGTGTGCCCTGTGCTGTAGGAGCGGGCAGCTGAGTGGTCACGTGTGCCCTGTGCTGTAGGAGCGGGCAGCTGAGTTGTCACGTGTGACCTGTGCTGTAGGAGTGGGCAGCTGAGTGGTCACGTGTGCCCTGTGCTGTAGCAGAGGGCAGCCGAGTGGTCACGTGTGCCCTGTGCTGTAGGAGAGGGCAGCTGAGTGGTCACGTGTGCCCTGTGCTGTAGGAGAGGGCAGCTGAGTGGTCACGTGTGCCCTGTGCTGTAGGACAGGGCAGCCGAGTGGTCACGTGTGCCCTGTGTTGTAGGAGAGGGCAGCCGAGTGGTCACGTGTGCCCTGTGCTGTAGGAGAGGGCAGCCGAGTGGTCACGTGTGCCCTGTGTTGTAGGAGTGGGCAGCCGAGTGGTCACGTGTGCCCTGTGTTGTAGGAGCGGGCAGCTGAGTGGTCACGTGTGCCGTGTTTTGTAGGAGCGGGCAGCTGAGTGGTCACGTGTGCCCTGTGCTGTAGGAGCGGGCAGCTGAGTGGTCACGTGTGCCGTGTTTTGTAGGAGCGGGCAGCTGAGTGGTCACGTGTGCCCTGTGCTGTAGGAGCGGGCAGCTGAGTGGTCACGTGTGCCCTGTGCTGTAGGAGCGGGTAGGCAGTGGACAGGGAGAGAGCCCCAGGTGCTGCTGCTGCGATGTGCAAGCGACGATGCAGATCGCCATTCAACAACATCAAGGTGAGGGGGTCTCTGGGGGCAGGGGGTCTCTGGGGGGGGTGAGGGGGTCTCTGGGGGTCCCTGTGTGGGGGTCCGTGGATTGGGGGGTCCTGCACCAGTCGCTATGGGGATGTCGCTTGACTTATGAGATTAGAGATGGACTTGGGTAGGTGGGTGAGTGAGTGAGTGGGTGAGTGGGTGGGTGGGTGAGTGAGTGAGTGGATGAGTGGGTGAGTGGGTGGGTGAGTGAGTGGGTGAGTGGGTGAGTGAGTGGGTGAGTGAGTGAGTGAGTGGGTGAGTGGGTGGGTGAGTGAGTGGGTGAGTGAGTGAGTGGGTGGGTGAGTGGGTGAGTGAGTGGGTGAGTGGGTGGGTGAGTGGGTGAGTGAGTGGGTGAGTGAGTGAGTGGGTGGGTGAGTGAGTGAGTGGGTGAGTGGGTAGGTGGGTGAGTGAGTGGGTGAGTGAGTGAGTGGGTGAGTGGGTGAGTGAGTGGGTGAGTGAGTGGGTGAGTGAGTGAGTGGGTGAGTGAGTGAGTGGGTGAGTGGGTAGGTGGGTGAGTGAGTGGGTGAGTGGGTGAGTGGGTGAGTGAGTGGGTGAGTGAGTGAGTGAGTGGGTGAGTGGGTGAGTGAGTGAGTGGGTGAGTGGGTGAGTGAGTGGGTGAGTGAGTGAGTGGGTGAGTGGGTGAGTGAGTGGGTGAGTGAGTGAGTGGGTGAGTGGGTGAGTGGGTGGGTGAGTGGGTGAGTGAGTGGGTGAGTGAGTGAGTGGGTGAGTGAGTGAGTGGGTGAGTGGGTGGGTGAGTGAGTGAGTGGGTGAGTGGGTGAGTGAGTGGGTGAGTGAGTGAGTGGGTGAGTGGGTGAGTGAGTGGGTGAGTGAGTGAGTGGGTGCGTGAGTGGGTAGGTGAGTGGGTGGGTGAGTGGGTAGGTGAGTGGGTGAGTGACTGGTTAGGTGGGTGAGTGAGTGGGTGAGTGAGTGAGTGGGTGAGTGAGTGGGTGAGTGATTGAGTGGGTGAGTGGGTGAGTGACTGGTTAGGTGGGTGAGTGAGTGGGTGAGTGAGTGAGTGGGTGGGTGAGTGGGTGAGTGAGTGGGTGAGTGAGTGAGTGGGTGAGTGAGTGGGTGAGTGAGTGGGTGAGTGAGTGAGTGGGTGAGTGAGTGGGTGAGTGAGTGGGTGAGTGAGTGGGTAGGTGAGTGAGTGAGTGGGTGAGTGAGTTGGTGGGTGAGTGGGTAGGTGAGTGAGTGAGTGGGTAAGTGACTGGGTAGGTGGTTGAGTGAGTGGGTAGGTGGGTGAGTGGGTGGGTAAGTGATGCGTGTATGATGCCTGTATGATGCCTGTATGATGCCTGTATGAAGCGTGTATGCCTGAATGATGTCTATATGATGTCTGTATGATGCCTGTACGATGCCTTTATAATGCCTGTATGATGCCTGTATGATGTCTGTATGATGCCTGTATGATGCCTTTTTGATGCCTGTATGATACCTGTATGATGCCTGTATGATGCCTGTATGATGTCTGTATGATGCCTGTATGATGTCTGCATGATGCCTTTTTGATGCCTGTATGATACCTGTATGATGCGTGTATGATGCCTGTATGATGCCTGTATGATGGGTGTATGATGCCTGTATGATGCCTCTCACGATGCCTGTATGATTCCTGTATGATGTATGTATGATTCCTGTATGATGTATGTATGATGCCTGTATGATGCCTGTATGATTTCTGTATGATGCCTGTATGATGTATATATGATGCGTGTATGATGCGTGTATTTTGCCTGTATGATGCCTGTATGATGCCTGTACGATGCCTGCATGATGCCTGTATGATGCCTGTATGATGCCTGTATTGTGCCTGTATTGTGTATGTGATTCCTTATGATGTGTGTGTGTGATGCCTGTATGATGTCACCACGATGCCTGTATGATGCCTGTACGATGTGAGTATGATGCCTGTATGATGTCTGTATGATGTCTGTATCATATCTGTATGATACCCATATGATGCATGTATGATGCCTGTATGATGTCTGTGATGCCGGTATGATGTCTGTATGTTGCCTGTATGATGTGTGTATGATGCCTGTATGATGCCTGTATGATGCCTGTATGAAGCGTGTATGCCTGTATGATGTCTATATGATGTCTGTATGATGCGTAAATGATGCCTGTATGATGCCTTATAATGCAAGTATGATGCGTGTATGATACCTGTATGATGCCTGTATTTTGCCTGTACGATGTCTGTATGATGCCTGTATTGTGCCTGTATGATGTGTTTATGATGACTGTATGATGCCTGTATAATGCCTGTATGATGCCTGTATGATGCCTGTATGATGCGCGTGTAATGCCTGTATGATGCCTGTATGATGCCTGTATAATGCCTGTATGATGCGTGTATGATGCCTGTATGATGTGTGTATGATGCCTGTATGATGTCTGTATGATGTCTGTATCATACCTGTATGATACCTGTATGATGCATGTATGATGCCTGTATGATGTCTATGATGCCGGTATGATGTCTGTATAATGCCTGTATGATGCCTGTATGATGCCCGTATAATGCCTGTATGATGCGGGTATGATGCCTGTATGGTGCCTGTATAATGCCTTTATGATGCCTGTATGATGTCCATATGATACCTGTATAACGCCTCTATGATGCCTGTATAATGCCTGTATGATCCCCGTATTTTGCCTGTACGATGTGTGTATGATGCCTGTATTGTGCCTGTATGATGTGTTTATGATGCCTGTATGATGCCTGTAAGATGCTTGTATGATGCGTGTATGATGCCTGTGTTATGCCTGTATGATGCCTGCATGATGCCTGCATAATGCGTGTATGATGCCTGTATGATGCCTGTATTATGCCTGTATGATGCCTGTATGAAGCCTGTATAATGCGTGTATGATGCCTGTATAATGCCTGTATAATGCGTGTACAATGCGTGTATGATGCGTTTATGATACCTGTATAATGCATGTATGATGAATGTAGGATGCCCATATGATAACTGTATAATGCCTGTATGATGCCTGTATAATGCGTGTATGATGCCTGTATGATGCATGTATGATGCATGTATGATACCTGTATGATAACTGTATAATGCGTGTATGATGCGTGTATGATGCTTGTATGATGCGAGTATAATGCCTGTATGATGCCTGTATGATGCCTGTATGATGCCTGTATGATGCGAGTATAATGCCTGTATGATGCCTGTATGATGCGAGTATAATGCCTGTATGATGCCTGTATGATGCCTGCATGATGCCCATATGATAATTGTATAATGCCTGTATGATGCCTGTATAATGCGTGTATGATGCCTGTATGATGCATGTATGATGCATGTAAGATACCTGTATGATAACTGTATAATGCGTGTATGATGCGTGTATGATGCTTGTATGATGCGAGTATGCCTGTATGATGCCTGTATGATGCCTGTATGATGCCTGTATGATGCGAGTATAATGCCTGTATGATGCCTGTATGATGCCTGTATGATGCCTGTATGATGCGAGTATAATGCCTGTATGATGCCTGTATGATGCCTGCATGATGCGTTTATGATACCTGTATAATGCATGTATGATGAATGTAGGATGGCTGTATGATGCCCATATGATACCTGTATAATGCCTGTATGATGCCGGAATAATGCTTGTATGATGCATGTATAATGCCTGTATGATGCCTGTATGATGCCTGTATGGTGCCCATATGATACCTGTATAATGCCTGCATGATGCGTCTATGATGCCTGTATGATGCTGATGATGCCCAAATGATACAGATATAATGCCTGGATGATGCCTGTATGATGCCTGTATGATGCGTCTTTGATGCCTGTATGATGCATGTGTGATGCCTGTATGATGGCTGTATGATGCCCATATGATACCTGTATAATGCCTGTATGATGGCTGTATAACGCCTGTATGATGTATGTATGACTCGTTTATGATGCGTGTATGATGCCTGTATGATACCCGTATGATGCTTGTATAATGTATGTATGATACCTGCATGATGCATGTATGATGCCTGTATGATGCCTGTTTGATGTATGTATGATGCCTGTATGATGCCTGTATGATGCCTGTATGATGCCCATATGATACCTGTATAATGCCTGTATGATGCCTATATGATGCCTGCATGATGCCTGCATGATGAGTCTATGATGCTGTATTATGCCTGTATGATGCCCATATGATACCTGTATAATGCCTGGATGATGCCTGTATGATGCCTGTATGATGTGTGGTTGATGCCTGTATGAAGCATGTATGATGCCTGTATGTTGGCTGTATTATGCCCATATGATAACTGTATAATGCCTGTATGATGCCTGTATAATGCGTGTATGATGCCTGTATGATGCATGTATGATGCCTATATAATGCCTGTATGATGACTGTATATTGCGTGAATGACGCCTGTATGATGCCTGTATGATGGATGTATGATGCGTGTATGATGCGTGTAGGATACCTGTATGATGCCTGTATGATGTTTGTATAATGTATGTATGATGCCTGTATGATGCCTGTATGATGCCTTTTTGATGCCCGTATGCTACCTGTCTAATGCCTGTATGATGCCTGTATGCGTGTTTGATGCCTGTATGATGCATGTATGATGCTTGTATGATGGCTGTATGATGCCCACATGATAACTGTATAATGCCTGTATGATGTCTGTATAATGCGTGTATGATGCCTGTATGATGCATGTATGATGCCTGTATGATGCCTGTATGATGACTGTATAATGCGTGTATGATGCCTGTATGATACCTGTATGATGCCTTTATGATGCCCATATGATACCTGTATAATGCATGTATGATGCATGTATGATGCCTGTATGATGCCCATATGATACCTGTATAATGCCTGTATGATGCCTGTATGATGCCTGAATGATGCCTGCATGATGCGTTTATGATGCCTGTATGATGCCTGTATGATGCCCATATGATACCTGTATAATGCCTGGATGATGCCTGTACGATGCCTGTATGATGCGTGTTTGATGCCTGTATGAAGCATGTATGATGCCTGTATGATGACTGTATGATGCCCATATGATAACTGTATAATGCCTGTATGATGCCTGTATAATGCGTGTATGATGCCTGTATGATGCATGTATGATGCATGTATGATACCTGTATGATAATTGTATAATGCGTGTATGATGTGTGTATGATGCTTGTATGATGCCTTTATAATGCCTGTATGATGCATGTATGATGCCTGTATAATGCGTGTATGATGCCTGCATGATGCGTGTATGGTGCCTGTATGATGCGTGTATGATGCCTGTATGATGCCTGTATGATGCCTTTATAATGCCTGTATGATGCCTGTACGATGCATGTATGATGCCTGTATGATGCGAGTATAATGCCTGTATGATGCCTGTATGATGCCTGTATGATGCGAGTATAATGCCTGTATGATGCCTGTATGATGCCTGCATGATGCCCATATGATAACTGTATAATGCCTGTATGATGCCTGTATAATGCGTGTATGATGCCTGTATGATGCATGTATGATGCATGTATGATACCTGTATGATAACTGTATAATGCGTGTATGATGCGTGTATGATGCTTGTATGATGCGAGTATAATGCCTGTATGATGCCTGTATGATGCCTGTATGATGCCTGTATGATGCGAGTATAATGTATGTATGATGCCTGTATGATGCCTGTATGATGCCTTTTTGATGCCCGTATGCTACCTGTCTAATGCCTGTATGATGCCTGTATGCGTGTTTGATGCCTGTATGATGCATGTATGATGCTTGTATGATGGCTGTATGATGCCCACATGATAACTGTATAATACCTGTATGATGTCTGTATAATGCGTGTATGATGCCTGTATGATGCATGTATGATGCCTGTATGATGCCTGTATGATGACTGTATAATGCGTGTATGATGCCTGTATGATACCTGTATGATGCCTTTATGATGCCCATATGATACCTGTATAATGCATGTATGATGCATGTATGATGCCTGTATGATGCCCATATGATACCTGTATAATGCCTGTATGATGCCTGTATGATGCCTGAATGATGCCTGCATGATGCGTTTATGATGCCTGTATGATGCCTGTATGATGCCCATATGATACCTGTATAATGCCTGGATGATGCCTGTACGATGCCTGTATGATGCGTGTTTGATGCCTGTATGAAGCATGTATGATGCCTGTATGATGACTGTATGATGCCCATATGATAACTGTATAATGCCTGTATGATGCCTGTATAATGCGTGTATGATGCCTGTATGATGCATGTATGATGCATGTATGATACCTGTATGATAATTGTATAATGCGTGTATGATGTGTGTATGATGCTTGTATGATGCCTTTATAATGCCTGTATGATGCATGTATGATGCCTGTATAATGCGTGTATGATGCCTGCATGATGCGTGTATGGTGCCTGTATGATGCGTGTATGATGCCTGTATGATGCCTGTATGATGCCTTTATAATGCCTGTATGATGCCTGTACGATGCATGTATGATGCCTGTATGATGCGAGTATAATGCCTGTATGATGCCTGTATGATGCCTGTATGATGCGAGTATAATGCCTGTATGATACCTGTATGATGCCTGCATGATGCCCATATGATAACTGTATAATGCCTGTATGATGCCTGTATAATGCGTGTATGATGCCTGTATGATGCATGTATGATGCATGTATGATACCTGTATGATAACTGTATAATGCGTGTATGATGTGTGTATGATGCTTGTATGATGCGAGTATAATGCCTGTATAATGCCTGTATGATGCCTGTATGATGCCTGTATGATGCGAGTATAATGCCTGTATGATGCCTGTATGATGCCTGCATGATGCCTGTATGATGCCTTATGATGCCTGTATGATGCCTGTATGATGCCTGTATGATGCTTGTATGATGCCAGTATGATGCGTGTATGATGCCTGTATGATGCCTGTATGATGCATGTATGATGCCTGTATAATGCGTGTATGATGCCTGCATGATGCGTGTATGGTGCCTGTATGATGCCTGTATGATGCCTGTATGATGCCTGTATGATGCCTGTACAATGCCTGTATGATGCCTGTATGATGCGAGTATAATGCCTGTATGATGCCTGTATGATGCCTGTATGATGCCTGTATGATGCCTGCATGATGCCTGTATGATGCCTGTATGATGCCTGCATGATGCCCGTACGATACCTGTATGATGCCTGTATGATGCCTGTATGATACGAGTATAATGCCTGTATGATGCCTGTATGATGCCTGCATGATGCCTGTATAATGCCTGCATGATGCCTGTATTATGCCTGTATGATGCCTGTATGATGCCTGGATGATGCCTGTATGATGCCTGTATGATGCCTGTATGATGCCTGCATGATGCCTGCATGATGCCTGTATGATGCCTGTATGATGCCTGTATGATGCCCGCGTGACGCAGGCGTTCGTGTGCTGCCACGGTCTGCTGCAGCTGTCCCAGCTGCTGGTCTCAGCTTACTTCAAGAGCAGCCTGTCGACAATCGAGCGACGATACGGCCTGTCAAGTAGCACGTCGGGGTTCATATCCAGTGTCAATGAGGTAGGGGGGTCTCTATGGGTGTCTATGGGTCTCTATGGGGGTCTATGGGTCTCTATGGGGTCTCTATTGGTCTCTATAGGGGTCTCTATGAGTCTGTGTGTAGCTACGGCCTGTCAAGTAGCACGTCGGGGTTCATATCCAGTGTCAATGAGGTAGGGGGTCTATGGGGGTCTATGGGTGTCTATGGGTCTCTATGGGTCTCTATGGGTGTCTATGGGTCTCTATGGGGGTCTCTATGGGTCTCTATGGGGGTCTATGGGGTCTCTATGGGGGTCTCTATGGGTGTCTATGGGGGTCTATGGGGTCTCTATGGGGTCTCTATGAGTCTGTGTGTAGCTACGGCCTGTCAAGTAGCACGTCGGGGTTCATATCCAGTGTCAATGAGGTAGGGGGGTGGGTCTCTATAGGGGTCTATGGGGGTCTATGGGTCTCTAGGGGGGTCTCTATGGGTCTCTATAGGGGTCTCTATGGGTCTCTATGGGTGTCTGTGGGTCTCTATAGGGGTCTCTATGGGTCTCTATGAGTCTGTGTGTAGCTACGGCCTGTCAAGTAGCACGTCAGGGTTCATATCCAGTGTCAATGAGGTAGGGGGTGGGTCTCTATGGGTCTCTAGGGGGTCTCTATGGGGGTTTATGGGTCTCTATGGGGTCTCTATTGGTCTCTATAGGGGTCTCTATGAGTCTGTGTGTAGCTACGGCCTGTCAAGTAGCACGTCAGGGTTCATATCCAGTGTCAATGAGGTAGGGGGTGGGTCTCTATGGGTGTCTATGGGTCTCTATAGGGGTCTCTATGGGTCTGTGTGTAGCTACGGCCTGTCAAGTAGCACGTCAGGGTTCATATCCAGTGTCAATGAGGTAGGGGGGTCTCTATGGGTGTCTATGGGTCTCTAGGGGTGTCTAAGGGGTCTCTATGGGTCTCTATGGGGGTCTATGGGTCTCTAGGGTGTCTATGGGTCTCTATGGGTCTCAAGGGGGTCTCTTTGGGTCTCTATGGGGGTCTATGGGTGTCTATGGGTCTCTATGGGTCTCTAAGGGTCTCTATGGGTCTCTATGGGGGTCTCTATGGGTCTGGGTCTCTGTTGGTCTCTGTGGGTCTCTGTGAGTCTCTAAGGGATGCTCTATGGGTCTCTGCGGGTCTCTATGAGTCTCTCTGGGTCTCTATGGGTCTGGGTGTCTGTGGGTCTCTGTGGGTATCTATGGGTGTCTATGGGGGTCTCTATCGGTCTCTAGGGGGGTCGCTATGGGTCTCTATGGGGTCTCTATGGGTCTCTATGGGTCTCTATGGGTCTCTATGGGTCTCTATGAGTCTGTGTGTAGCTACGGCCTGTCAAGTAGCACGTCGGGGTTCATATCCAGTGTCAATGAGGTAGGGGGTGGGTCTCTATGGGTCTCTATGGGTGTCTATGGGTCTCTATGGGTCTCTATGGGGTCTCTATGGGTGTCTATGGGTCTCTATGGGGGTCTATGGGGTCTCTATGGGTCTCTATGGGTGTCTATGGGTCTCTATGGGTCTCTAGGGGGGTCTGGGTCTCTGTGGGTGTCTATGGGTCTCTATGGGTCTCTGTGAGTCTCTGTGAGTCTCTGTGAGTCTCTACGGGATGCTCTATGGGTCTCTGTGGGTCTCTATGGGTCTGGGTGTCTGTGGGTCTCTATGGGTCTCTATGGGTCTCTATGGGGGTCTCTATGGGTCTCTATGGGTCTCTATGGGGTCTCTAGGGGTCTCTATGAGTCTGTGTGTAGCTATGGACTGTCAAGTACCACATCGGGGTTCATATCCAGTGTCAATGAGGTAGGGACGGGTCTCTATGGGTGTCTATGGGTCTCTATGGGTCTCTATGGGTGTCTATGGGGTCTCTAGGGGTCTCTATGGGTCTCTAGGGGGTCTATGGGTCCCTATGGGGGTCTCTATGGGTCTCTATGGGTCTCTATGAGTCTCTATAGGGGTCTCTATGGGTCTCTATGGGTCTCTAGGGGGTCTCTATGGGTCTCTAGGGGGTCTCTATGGGTCTCTATGAGTCTCTATAGGGGTCTCTATGGGTCTCTATCGGTCTCTAGGGGGGTCGCTATGGGTCTCTATGGGGTCTCTATGGGTCTCTATGGGTCTCTATGGGTCTCTATGAGTCTGTGTGTAGCTACGGCCTGTCAAGTACCACGTCGGGGTTCATATCCAGTGTCAATGAGGTAGGGGGTGGGTCTCTATGGGTCTCTATGGGTGTCTATGGGTCTCTATGGGTCTCTATGGGTCTCTATGAGTCTGTGTGTAGCTACGCACTGTCAAGTACCACGTCGGGGTTCATATCCAGTGTCGATGAGGTAGGGGGTGGGTCTCTATGGGTCTCTATGGGTGTCTATGGGTCTCTATGGGTCTCTATGGGTCTCTATGAGTCTGTGTGTAGCTACGCACTGTCAAGTACCACGTCGGGGTTCATATCCAGTGTCGATGAGGTAGGGGGGTCTCTATGGGTGTCTATGGGGGTCTCTATGGGTGTCTATGGGTCTCTATGGGTGTCTATGGGTCTCTATGGGTCTTTATGGGTGTCTATGGGTGTCTATGGGTCTCTATAGGGGTCTATGGGTGTCTATGGGTCTCTATAGGGGTCTCTATGGGTGTCTATGGGTCTCTATGGGGGTCTCTATGGGTCTCTATGGGTGTCTATGGGTCTCTATGAGTCTCTATGGGTGTCTATGGGGTCTATATGGGTCTCTATGGGTGTCTATGGGTGTCTCTATGGGTCTCTATGGGTCTCTATGGGGGTCTCTATGAGTCTCTATGGGGTCTCTATGGGTGTCTATGGGTCTCTATGGGTCTCTATGGGTCTCTAGGCAGGTCTCTATGAGTCTCTATAGGTCTCTATGGGTCTCTATGGGTCTCTATGGGTCTCTAGGCGGGTCTCTATGGGTCTCTATGGGTCTCTATGGGTCTCTAGGCGGGTCTCTATGGGTCTCTATGGGTCTCTATGGGTCTCTAGGGGTCTCTAGGGGGGTCTCTATGGGTGTCTATGGGTCTCTATGGGGTCTCTATGGGTCTCTATGGGGTCTCTATGGGTGTCTATGGGGTTCTCTATGGGTCTCTATGGGTCTCTATGGGGTCTCTAGGGGTGTCTATGGGTCTCTAGGTGGTCTCTATGGGTCTATATGGGTGTCTATGGGTGTCTATGGGTCTCTATGGGTGTCTATGGGGGTGTCTATGGGTCTATTGGTCTCTAGGGGGTCTCTATGGGTCTCTATGGGTCTCTATAGGGGTCTCTATGGGTGTCTATGGGTCTCTAGGGGGTCTATATGGGTCTCTATGGGTGTCTATGGGTCTCTATGAGTCTCTATGGGTGTCTATGGGGGTCTCTATGGGTCTCTATGGGGGTCTCTATGAGTCTCTATGGGGTCTCTATGAGTGTCTATATGGGTCTCTATGGGTCTCTATGAGTCTCTATGAGTCTATGAGTGTCTTTATGGGTATATGAGTGTACAGCACTTGCCCCCTACACCCCTTTCTACTCGCTACTACTAACAGCACTTGCCCCCTACAGCCCCGCTACTCGCTACTACTAACAGCCCTTACCCCCTACACCCCTGCTACTCGCTAGCGCTAACAGCACTTGCCCCCTATGGCCCTGCTACTCGATACTACTAACAGCCCTTGCCCCTACAGCGCTGCTACTCGCTACGACTAACAACACTTGCCCCCTACAGCCCTGCTACTGGCTACTACTAACAGCACTTGCCCCCTACAGCCCTGCTACTCGCTACCGCTAACAGCACTTGCCCCTACACCCCTGCTACTCGCTACTACTAACAACACTTGCCCCTACAGCTCAGCTACTCGCTACCGCTAACAGCCCGTGCCCCCTACACCCCTGCTACTCGCTACTTCTAACAGCCCTTGCCCCCTACAGCCCTGCTACTCGCTACTACTAACAGCACTTGCCCCTACACCCCTGCTACTCGCTACTACTAACAACACTTGCCCCCTACAGCCCTGCTACTCGCTACTACTAACAGCACTTGCCCCTACACCCCTGCTACTCGCTACTACTAACAACACTTGCCCCCTACAGCCCTGCTACTCGCTACTACTAACAGCACTTGCCCCCCACAGCCCTGCTACTCGCTACTACTAACAGCACTTGCCCCCTACACCCCCTCTACTCGCTACTACTAACAGCACTTGCCCCTACAGCGCTGCTACTCGCTACTACTAACAACACTTGCCCCCTACAGCCGAGCTACTCGCTACTACTAACAACCCTTGCCCCCTACAGCCCTGCTACTCGCTACCGCTAACAGCACTTGCCCCTACAGCCATCTACTCGCTACTACTAACAGCACTTGCCCCCTACAGCCCTGCTACTCGCTACTACTAACAGCACTTGCCCCCTACAGCCCTGCTACTCGCTACTACTAACAACACTTGCCCCCTACACCCCTGCTACTCGCTACTACTAACAGCACTTGCCCCCTACAGCCCTGTTACTTGCTACCGCTAACAGCCCTTGCCCCCTAAACCTCTGCTACTCGCTACTACTAACAACACTTGCCCCTACAGCTCAGCTACTCGGTACCGCTAACAGCCCGTGCCCCCTACAGCCCTGCTACTCGCTACTACTAACAACACCTGCCCCCTACAGCCCTGCTACTCGATACTACTAACAGCACTTGCCCCCTACAGCCCTGCTACTCGCGACCACTAACAACACTTGCCTCCTACAGCCCTGCTACTCGCTACCGCTAACAGAACTCGCCCCCTACACCCCTGCTACTCGCTACGACTAACAGCACTTGCCCCCTACACCCCTGCTACTCGCTACAGCTAACAGCACTTGCCCCCTACACCCCTGCTACTCGCTACAGCTAACAGCACTTGCCCCCTACAGCCGAGCTACTCGCTACTACTAACAGCCCGTGCCCCCTACACCCCTGCTACTCGCTACTACTAACAGCCCGTGCCCCCTACACCCCTCCTACTCGATACTACTAACAGCACTTGCCCCCTACAGCCCTGCTACTCGCTACTACTAACAGCCCTTGCCCCCTACAGCCCTTGCCCCTACAGCTCAGCTACTTGCTACAGCTAACAGCCCGTGCCCCCTACACCCCCGCTACTCACTACCGCTAACAGCCCTTGCCCCTACACCCCTGCTACTGGCTACTACTAACAACACTTGCCCCTACACCCCTGCTACTCGCTACTACTAACAACACTTGCCCCTACAGCTCAGCTACTCGGTACCGCTAACAGCCCGTGCCCCCTACAGCCCTGCTACTCGCTACTACTAACAACACCTGCCCCCTACAGCCCTGCTACTCGATACTACTAACAGCACTTGCCCCCTACAGCCCTGCTACTCGCGACCACTAACAACACTTGCCTCCTACAGCCCTGCTACTCGCTACCGCTAACAGAACTCGCCCCCTACACCCCTGCTACTCGCTACGACTAACAGCACTTGCCCCCTACACCCCTGCTACTCGCTACAGCTAACAGCACTTGCCCCCTACACCCCTGCTACTCGCTACAGCTAACAGCACTTGCCCCCTACAGCCGAGCTACTCGCTACTACTAACAGCCCGTGCCCCCTACACCCCTGCTACTCGCTACTACTAACAGCCCGTGCCCCCTACACCCCTCCTACTCGATGCTACTAACAGCACTTGCCCCCTACAGCCCTGCTACTCGCTACTACTAACAGCCCTTGCCCCCTACAGCCCTTGCCCCTACAGCTCAGCTACTTGCTACAGCTAACAGCCCGTGCCCCCTACACCCCCGCTACTCGCTACCGCTAACAGCCCTTGCCCCTACACCCCTGCTACTGGCTACTACTAACAACACTTGCCCCTACACCCCTGCTACTCGCTACTACTAACAACACTTGCCCCTACAGCTCAGCTACTCGGTACCGCTAACAGCCCGTGCCCCCTACAGCCCTGCTACTCGCTACTACTAACAACACTTGCCCCCTACAGCCCTGCTACTCGCTATTACTAACAGCACTTGCCCCCTACAGCCCTGCTACTCGCTACTACTAACAACACTTGCCTCCTACAGCCCTGCTACTCGCTACTACTAACAGCACGTGCCCCCTACACCCCTGCTACTTGCTACAGCTAACAGCCCTTGCCCCCTACAGCCCCGCTACTCGCTACCGCTAACAGCACTTGCCCCCTACAGCCCCGCTACTCGCTACCGCTGACAGCCCGTGCCCCCTACCCCCCTGCGTAGATCAGCAACCTGCTCCTCATCGTCTTCGTGAGCTACTTCGGAGGGCGCCTTCACCGCCCTCGGCTCATCGGCACGGGGGGCCTCCTCATCGGCCTCGCGGCCTTCCTCTCGGCGCTGCCTCACTTCCTCACCCCTCCCTACGCACACGGCGGTGGTGGCGGTGGTGGTGGCGGTGGTGGCGGTGGTGGTGGTGGTGGAGGCGGTGGTGGAGGCGGGGGTCACGGGCAAGCCCCCAGTGAGCGGCACCGGACGTCAGCCGGGGGACAAATATCGAGCGAGACAGAGGCTCGGACATTCAGACACTCAGCCACTGACTCAGCCACTTAGCCACTCACCCAGCTACTCAGCCACTGACTCAGCCACTTAGCCACTCACCCACTGACTCACCCACTGACTCACCCACCCAGACACTCACCCAGACACTCACCCACCCAGACACTCACCCAGACACTCACCCACTGACTCAGCCACTCACCCACTGACTCACCCACTGACTCAGCCACTCACCCACTGACTCAGCCACTCACCCACTGACTCAGCCACTTAGCCACTCACCCAGACACTCACCCACTGACTCACCCACCCAGACACTCACCCAGACACTCACCCACCCAGCCACTCACCCAGACACTCACCCACTGACTCAGCCACACACCCACTGACTCACCCACTGACTCAGCCACTCACCCACTGACTCAGCCACTCACCCACTGACTCACACACCCAGACACTCACCCACCCAGCCACTCACCCAGACACTCACCCACTGACTCAGCCACACACCCAATGACTCAGCCACTCACACACTGACTCACCCACCCAGACACTCACCCACCCACTCAGCCACTCACCCACCAGGCCACTCACCCACTGACTCACCCACTGACTCACCCACCCAGCCACTAACTCACTCACCCAGCCACTCACCCACCCAGACACCCGCCCACTGACTCAGCCACTTAGCCACTCACCCAGTGACTCACACACCCAGCCACTCACCCACTGACTCACACACCCAGCCACTCACCCACCCACTCAGCCACTCACCCAATGACTCACCCACCCAGACACTCACCCACCCAGCCACTAACTCACCCACCCAGACACTCACCCACTGAATCACCCATCCAGACACTCACCCACTGACTCAGCCACTTAGCCACTCACCCACTGACTCACCCACTGACTCACACACCCAGCTACTCACCCACCCAGACACTCACCCACTGACTCACACACCCAGCCACTCACCCACTGACTCACACACTGACTCACCCACCCAGACACTCACCCAATGACTCACCCACCCAGCCACTCACCCACCCACTCAGCCACTCACCCACCCAGCCACTCACCCACTGACTCACCCACCCAGACACTAACTCACCCACCCAGACACTCGCCCAGCCAGCCACTCACCCACTGACTCACCCACCCAGCCACTAACACAATGACTCACCCACCCAGCCACTCACCCACCCAGCCACTCACCCACTGACTCACCCACCCAGCCACTGACTCACCCACCCAGCTACTCACCCACTGACTCACCCACCCAGCAACTCACCCACTGACTCACCCACTCAGCAACTCACCCACTGACTCACCCACTCAGCCACTCACCCACTGACTCACCCACTCAGCCACTCACCCACTGACTCACCCACTCAGCCACTCACCCACTGACTCATCCACCCAGCCACTCACCCACCCAGCCACTCACCCACTGACTCACCCACCCAGCCACTCACCCACCCAGCCACTCACCCACTGACTCACCCACCCAGCTACTCGTCCCCCTACCCATCCACCTAAACCATCACCCACTCACCACCCCCCCTACCCCCCCACCCCCCCCACCCCCCTACCCCCACCCCCCACCCCCACCCCCCACCCCCCATACCCCCCCTACCCCCCCACCTGTTCAGACTCCTCGGCCCACAGCGACCTCTGCCGCCCATCCGCGATGACGTCGCCCCTGGCTCCTCCCCCTCCTCGCTGCCCGCCCGCGAGCAACGTCTCGGGCGGGGGAGGGGCGCGGTGGTTGGGGGCGGGGCCCGGCGTGGGGGCGGGGCACGACGCCGACGTGCGTGGCCGCGTTGTGACGATGCTGATGACGTCACAGCTGCTGCTGGGCGTTGGCGCCGCCCCCGTTCAGCCGCTGGGAATCTCCTTCGTGGACGACTTCGCGAGCAACGCCAACAGCCCCTTCTACCTGGGTGGGTGGGGGCGGTGGTGGGGGGGTGGTGGGGGGGTGGTGGGGGGGTGGTGGGGGGGGGGTGGGCAGGGTCATCAAGAGACCCGTGGAGTTACCCACCCACTCACTCACCAATTGACTCACCCACTCACCCATTCACTCACTCACCCACCCACTCACTCACCCACCCACTCACTCACCCACTCACTCACCCATTCACTCACTCACTCACCCATTCACTCACTCACCCACCCACCCACTCACTCACCCACTCACTCACCCACCCATTCACTCACTCACCCACCCACTCACTCACCCATTCACTCACCCACCCACCCACTCACTCACTCAACCACCCACTCACTCACCAACTGACTCACTCACCCATTCACTCACCCACCCACCCACTCACTCACTCACCCACCCACCCACCCACTCACTCACCCACCCACTCACTCACTCACCCACCCACTCACTCACCCACCCACTCACTCACCCACCCATTCACTCACTCACCCACCCACCCACTCACTCACTCCCCCACTCACTCACTCACCCACCCACTCACTCACCCACCCAACCACTCACTCACTCACCCACCCACTCACTCACTCACCCACCCACTCACTCACCAACTGACTCACTCACCCATTCACTCACCCACCCACCCACTCACTCACTCACCCACCCACTCACTCACCAACTGACTCACTCACCCATTCACTCACCCACCCACTCACTCACCAACTGACTCACTCACCCACCCACCCACTCACTCACTCACCCACCCACCCACCCACCCACTCACCCACCCACTCACTCACCAACTGACTCACTCACCCATTCACTCACCCACCCACCCACTCACCCACCCACTCACTCACCAACTGACTCACTCACCCATTCACTCACTCACCCACCCACTCACTCACTCACTCACCCACCTACTCACTCACCCACCCACTCACCCACCCACTCACCCACCCACCCACTCACCCACCCACCCACCCACTCACTCACCCACCCACCCACTCACTCACCCACCCACCCACTCACCCACTCACTCACTCACCCACCCACTCACTCACCCACTCACTCACTCACCAACTCACTCAACCACCCACCCACTCACTCACTCACCCACTCACCCACCAACCCACCCACCCACTAACCCACCCACCCACCTACCCACCCATCCACTAACCCACCCACCCACCTACCCACCCACCCACTAACCCACCCACCCTGTGTGTGTGTAGGGGTGCTGTTTGCCATCAGCGTAGTTGGCCCGGCCCTCGCATTCCTGCTGGGATCCGCCACCCTCCGCTACTACGTCGATTTCAACCGCTACCCAGCAGGGGGTACAGCCCCCACCCCTCACCCCCCCCACTCACCCCCCACTCACCCCACACTCACCCCCCACTCACCCACCACTCACCCCCCACTCACCCCACCACTCACCCAAAACTCACCCCACTCACCCCCCCCCACTCACCCCACACTCACCCCACACTCACCCCACACTCACCACCTACTCACCCCACACTCACCCCACTCACCACCTACTCACCCCACACTCACCCCACACTCACCCCACTCACCACCTACTCACCCCACACTCACCCCACACTCACCCCCTACTCACCCCACACTCACCCCACACTCACCCCCCACTCACCCAACACTCACCCACCACTCACCCCACACTCACCCCACACTCACCCCCCGCGCACCCCCCACTCACCCCACACTCACCCCACACTCACCAAAAACTCACCCCCCACTCACCCCCCACTCACCCAACACTCACCCCCCACTCACCACCCACTCACCCAAAACTCACCCCCACTCACCCCCCACTCACCCACCACTCACCCCACACTCACCCCACACTCACCCCCCACTCACCCCACACTCACCCCACACTCACCCCACACTCACCCAAAACTCACCCCCCACTCACCCCCACTCACCCCCCACTCACCCACCACTCACCCCACACTCACCCCACACTCACCCCACACTCACCCCACACTCACCCACCACTCACCCCCACTCACCCCCCACTCACCCACCACTCACCCCACACTCACCCCACACTCACCCCACACTCACCCCACACTCACCCCACACTCACCACCTACTCACCCCACACTCACCACCCCCCACTCACCCCCCTCACCACCACTCACACCCCACTCACCCTACACTCACCCCACACTCACCCCACACTCACCCCCACTCACCCCACACTCACCCAAAACTCACCCCCCACTCACCCAACACTCACCCCACACTCACCCCCCACTCACCCCCCACTCACCCACCACTCACCCCACACTCACCACCCACTCACCCCACACTCACCCCACACTCACCCCACACTCACCCCACACTCACCTCCCACTCACCCCACACTCACCCCACACTCACCACCTACTCACCTCCCACTCACCCCACACTCACCCCCCACTCACCCTACACTAACCCCACACTCACCCCCCACTCACCCAAAACTCACCCCACACTCACCCAAAACTCACCCCACACTCACCCCACACTCACCCCACACTCACCCAAAACTCACCACCCACTCACCCCACACTCACCCCACACTCACCCAAAACTCACCCCACTCACCCCCCCCCCACTCACCCCACACTCACCCCACACTCACCCTACACTCACCCCACACTCACCCTACACTCACCCAAAACTCACCACCTACTCACCCCACACTCACCCCACACTCACCTAAAACTCACCCAAAACTCACCACCCACTCACCCTACACTCACCACCTACTCACCCCACACTCACCCCACACTCACCACCCACTCACCCCACACTCACCCCACACTCACCACCTACTCACCCCACACTCAACCCACACTCACCCCACACTCACCCCACACTCACCCCACACTCACCCCACACTCACCACCTACTCACCCCACACTCACCCCACACACACCACACACTCACCCCCCACTCACCCCACACTCACCCCACACTCACCCCACACTCACCCCACACTCACCACCTACTCACCCCACACTCACCACCCCCCACTCACCCCCCTCACCACCACTCACACCCCACTCACCCTACACTCACCCCACACTCACCCCACACTCACCCCCACTCACCCCACACTCACCCAAAACTCACCCCCCACTCACCCAACACTCACCCCACACTCACCCCCCACTCACCCCCCACTCACCCCACACTCACCCCACACTCACCACCCACTCACCCCACACTCACCCCACACTCACCCCACACTCACCCCACACTCACCTCCCACTCACCCCACACTCACCCCACACTCACCACCTACTCACCCCCCACTCACCCCACACTCACCCCCCACTCACCCTACACTAACCCCACACTCACCCCCCACTCACCCAAAACTCACCCCACACTCACCCAAAACTCACCCCACACTCACCCCACACTCACCCCACACACACCCAAAACTCACCACCCACTCACCCCACCCTCACCCCACACTCACCCAAAACTCACCCCACACCCCCCCCCCCCACTCACCCCACACTCACCCCACACTCACCCAACACTCACCCCACACTCACCCCACACTCACCCAAAACTCACCACCCACTCACCCCACACTCACCCCACACTCACCTAAAACTCACCCAAAACTCACCACCCACTCACCCTACACTCACCACCTACTCACCCCACACTCACCCCACACTCACCACCCACTCACCCCACACTCACCCCACACTCACCACCTACTCACCCCACACTCAACCCACACTCACCCCACACTCACCCCACACTCACCCCACACTCACCCCACACTCACCACCTACTCACCCCACACTCACCCCACACTCACCACACACTCACCCCCCACTCACCCCACACTCACCCCACACTCACCCAAAATTCACCACCCACTCACCCCACACTCACCCCCCACTCACCCAACACTCACCCCTCACACCCCACTCACCCAACACTCACCACCTACTCACCCCCCACTCACCCCACACTCACCCCACACTCACCCCACACTCACCCCACACTCACCCAAAACTCAGCCCACACTCACCCAAAACTCACCCCCCACTCACCCAAAACTCACTCCCCACTCACCCCACACTCACCCAAAACTCACCCCACACTCACCCCACACTCACCCCACACTCACCCCACACTCACCCCACACTCACCACCCACTCACCCCACACTCACCACCCACTCACCCCACACTCACCCCACTCACCCCACACTCACCCCACTCACCACCTACTCACCCCACACTCACCCCACACTCACCCCACTCACCACCTACTCACCCCACACTCACCCCACACTCACCACACACTCACCCAAAACTCACCCCACACACACCCCACACTCACCACCCACTCACCCCACACTCACCCCCCACTCACCCAACACTCACCCCTCACACCCCACTCACCCAACACTCACCCCCCACTCACCCAACACTCACCACCTACTCACCCCCCACTCACCCCACCCTCACCCCACACTCACCACCTACTCACCCCACACTCACCCCACACTCACCCCACACTCACCCCACTCACCACCTACTCACCCCACACTCACCCCCCACTTACCCCACTCACCACCTACTCACCCCACACTCACCCCACACTCACCCCACACTCACCCCACACTCACCCCCACTCACCCCACACTCACCCCCCCCCCACTCACCCCCACTCACCCCACACTCACCCAAAACTCACCCCCCACTCACCCCCCACTCACCCAACACTCACCCCCCACTCACCACCCACTCACCCAAAACTCACCCCCCACTCACCCCCCACTCACCGCCCACTCACCCACCACTCACCCCACACTCACCCCCCACTCACCCACCACTCACCCCACACTCACCCCACACTCACCCCACACTCACCACCCACTCACCCACCACTCACCCCACACTCACCCCCCACTCACCCACCACTCACCACACACTCACCCACCACTCACCCCACACTCACCCCCCACTCACCCACCACTCACCCCACACTCACCCCCCACTCACCCCACACTCACCACCCACTCACCCAAAACTCACCCCACACTCACCCCACACTCACCCTACACTCACCCAAAACTCACCACCTACTCACCCCACACTCACCCCACACTCACCTAAAACTCACCCAAAACTCACCACCCACTCACCCAAAACTCACCCCCACTCACCCCACACTCCCCCCACACTCACCACCTACTCACCCCACACTCACCCCACACTCACCCCACACTCACCCCCCACTCACCCCACACTCACCCTACACTCACCACCTACTCACCCCACACTCACCCCCCACTCACCCCCCACTCACCCCAAACTCACCCCCACTCACCCCACACTCACCCTACACTCACCACCTACTCACCCCACACTCACCCCACACTCACCCCACACTCACCCCACACTCACCCACCACTCACCCCCACTCACCCCCCACTCACCCACCACTCACCCCACACTCACCCCACACTCACCCCACACTCACCCCACACTCACCCCACACTCACCACCTACTCACCCCACACTCACCACCCCCCACTCACCCCCCTCACCACCACTCACACCCCACTCACCCTACACTCACCCCACACTCACCCCACACTCACCCCCACTCACCCCACACTCACCCAAAACTCACCCCCCACTCACCCAAAACTCACCCCACACTCACCCCCCACTCACCCCCCACTCACCCACCACTCACCCCACACTCACCACCCACTCACCCCACACTCACCCCACACTCACCCCACACTCACCCCACACTCACCTCCCACTCACCCCACACTCACCCCACACTCACCACCTACTCACCTCCCACTCACCCCACACTCACCCCCCACTCACCCTACACTAACCCCACACTCACCCCCCACTCACCCAAAACTCACCCCACACTCACCCAAAACTCACCCCACACTCACCCCACACTCACCCCACACTCACCCAAAACTCACCACCCACTCACCCCACACTCACCCCACACTCACCCAAAACTCACCCCACTCACCCCCCCCCCACTCACCCCACACTCACCCCACACTCACCCTACACTCACCCCACACTCACCCTACACTCACCCAAAACTCACCACCTACTCACCCCACACTCACCCCACACTCACCTAAAACTCACCCAAAACTCACCACCCACTCACCCTACACTCACCACCTACTCACCCCACACTCACCCCACACTCACCACCCACTCACCCCACACTCACCCCACACTCACCACCTACTCACCCCACACTCAACCCACACTCACCCCACACTCACCCCACACTCACCCCAC